TTCTCTAAGAGTTGTCCTTATGTGGAAAATAGGAAGTTAATGTTTTGATTGCATGCTTTCTAATATTTTTTTATTTGAAGATGTCATGTATGCAATAAATGTACACCAAGATTGAATTAATTGAGTGAATAACAGGCTGTGGCACAAGAATTTAAAAAAAGAAGCCACTTGGCAGGGTGAAAGCAACAAACCACTTAATCGGAATTAGTAGAGCTTTCTGAATGTCTTTGTTTTGTAATTATTTTGAGCACATCAGCAGACTTGATGAACAAACAAAGGTGGCAGTATTAATGATTGTTTAAAATCAGTGTTGTGTGACCATTCATTTCTTTTATCAGGCACTTTTTCTGGCAGCTAGGGTAGCTTCTTCTGAATTGCTCTTTATTGTCATACAGGGAAAATTGAACTAGACTCTACCTATGAAAAAGCTGCTCAAAGACTTTTTTCTAGCTCATTTGCAGTGAGAAGTTCCTGTACAGTTTGTAGTCTTGCATAATTTTTGGAGTTGGAGCACTGCAGTCACTTTCTAAATACTAAAACCAAATAGCGAATTGACAGCATATACAAAAGGCTGTGATAAAATTTTTAAAAGTTCTGTTTGCAAAGTATCCCTGGCATGTTCTTGGATCAAATTCGCTCTTTCTAATTAAGGACAACTTAAACTACACGGTACTGTTGTGTACTTGATAGAACTTTATTACATGAATGGAAACTTTTCATGACAGGGTGTGGGTTACAAAGAGTGATGAGAAAAAAATCTAGGTAAGAAGCATATTTATAAAGAAACAAGCTACTCAGCTGGGAAAATTGAGTTGTTACAATCATGTAAAAGTTTTCTTGGGAATTTGCATTAGAAATTTGCAAGCAATCCACCTGGATACGTGTTGCTTTTGTTGCTATAAGCTACCTGAGAGGATGTATATGACTGGCAGGCATAGCTTGAATTTACAGTGTGAGTGTTGAGAGATTTCAGTACAGATCTGGCTTATTTCATGACCACACATGGAGGTTTGACAGGAAATATGTTACTACTTAGCATGGTTACATGCTAATAACAGTGGTAGCAGTTATAATTTGCACTCCCCCATGGTTCAGGTTGTAAACAGAACTTTGCAAATGCCATTGTCAAAAAGGGAAGGGAATAGAGTGAGATTTGTTTGCCTGTGGTGGTAAGGTTTAAATCTGAATTTCCAGCCCTTTAAAAGTCTTCCTCTTTTGTTTTGTTGAGAATTCAAAATTTCATCTTTTTCATTTAATTGAAGCTTGTAATTGTTTCTGTATTAGGGGTGAGGTCATAAGTAATTGAAATTGCAAGTTGTTCAACCTAACCATTTTTCTTATTATTGTGTTGGGAAGACTTTTTTTTTTTTCCCCTGAAGAAGAATATGGCCTGCAGTGAATCAGATTTTTCTTTGGGTAAATCAGGAAAGAGCTAAAATTAGACCTTCAGAATTAACTCTTTTTATTCCCCCTCAAATCTCAATAAAGCTTGGTAGATAGCATTTTGCAGGTTACTGAATTGAAGAATGTTTTATTTCATTCTAGTTTCTGTAAGGTTTTTTTATATATATATATATATATATATAAAATCTGGTAGGAAAGTGGTATCCATTGATACGGATAGTTTCATGAAAATACTTTCAGAGAATGCTGTGCTGCACAGGTTGGAAACTCCATGTTGTATCTCTGAGTTTGTAGATCCTAATTCTCATCAGACCAAGACAGACACAGCTGTCTTCTGCTCACAGATTGAACAGCAAGAAGAGTCATACAGGTAAGAGCAGGGAGGAGCATGAAAATGAGCAACAGAGAGGTTTCCTGCATACATTGCAAATCTATGTTGTGGTACAGCTTAGGTTCAGTATTAGATGACTTAATAAGATATTGCTCAATAAAATGAAGTGTAGTTGTTAGTTCCAATGTAGGATACTTGGAGTGTATGCTACTACAGTGATGGAGTTGTAATTACTAAGTCCAAATTACAGACACATGGGCCAGCATCCTTTAAGGTGGTATAAATAATGTTAGAACTGGAAGTCTGTCAGGCCTTATGGTTCCATACACTGCAAATTGTATTAGATGTCTGTTGGAGAAGTGTTTGAGCTTCAGTGCAGCTGTGAAAAGGAGCTGGTTTTAACTACATGTTCCAACTAAATGTAATGTGTTTCAACTCTTGGTCGTCTTGAGCAGGTTTGTAGTTTTCTTTATGCATGCAATACAGTCCATCAAGGTCAGTTTACTGAACAGATGTGAGAGGGAAATGTTGGAGAATTACCTGCCTCTTATGTGGGATTTAATCCGGTCAGTACCGAGTGTTCCTCACCCCAGCGCGACTGCTGTGAGCTGGGCTCTGCCTGCTGCAGGACAGCAGCCTTGGTAGCAGCAGCGTCTGATGTCCTGGACATCCCTCAGCCAAGGAGACCGCGTCAGAGGTTATGCCTCGCTGGTGACTTCCCTTTCCATAAGCAAGCTTACCCTAAGAACTTAAGTCTTTATGCGTGTCTTTTAAAATTACATGGTAACAAATAAGGAGAGAGCAAGGACTGTAATGAGGCTGGCTGCCTACACAGTCCAACAGTGGGAATAACTTGGTTTTGCCACAGTTTGGATGGATAAAATCTTTTCAAGTCACTAATTGCTGTAGCATCTTTGCTCCTTTTCCACCCTGTGATGGAGTCTTAGGGGGTTGATGAAGTATGAAAGAAGAGAGAGGAAGGAAAGGGCATTACCAAAGCCAGATGGTGGTTGCTGGTGTTGGAAAATCAGTTACCTGGCCTGCAGGAGCCAGCGGGTGGGCAGGCTGTGCCTCGGGAGGGGGAGCGGCTTTAGGAGTTACCCAGCTACCCAGGTGTGTTATTAAAACTCTACTGTAGTCCCATGTTTTCTTCAGTGCACCAATTTAAGAACCTCTGTGTCTGTGGTTCTCTCTTTGCTTCCCTCTTGTTTGGGGGGATCACTATTAAACTGTTTGTGTGGACATGGGCTAAACCAGACGAGTGAAACATTAATCTTTGTTAACCTCTTCATTCTATATTTATTTATTTTTAATCTAAAAAATTTTCCTGATCCTGTTTTGAGTGGGATGCCACCGGTAGTGTTTTTTCCAGTGACAAAGAAATTCTGAGATTCTCTGCTCTGCTGTCATTTGTGCTGCTGGGTGCAGCACCAGCTCCCATTCTAAACTGGTGTTGTGGATTTGTACAGTGCCTACTGAAACGGTGTCTCTCTTTACTTTTATTATATTATTTGCATTAGAAAGTAAACCAGGATTCTTATTGTTTTGAAGGTTTGATGTTGAGAAGCATGTTGGCCAAAAAACTTCTTGAAGTGCTCCTGTTGGGGTTTTTTAAATTTATTTTTTGTGGAATTTTGTATGTTAATGGATTTTATATGTTGTATGACAGTTCCTGACAAATAATCTTCTAGTTGTAGCTATTTGATTACTGTTCCTGCTTTAAATCCAAATAAGTTGCAAGTTTGTAGTCTGTGGAGTGGTTTGAATCTTCATTTTTGTAGAGCTTTTCCCATGCTGTGACAAACAACCGAGTGGTAATGTGTATGTGAGGATCATCAAACATGTTTGAAAAGCCTCCTTAGTCTTCAGCAGGCAATACTGTGTTCCATTAAAAAAAAAAAAAAAGTCCCTTTTTCATGGAACTTGCACAAAAGAAATAAATTATTTACAGAGAAATAATGTTTGAATCACTTTATTGTAACTCTGAGTATGGAAAGTACTTTCTAGCCATCATTTCTGCTAGAGGAGGGGAACCTTATGAAAAGCATGATCTGATGATAGCAGTCCTTTGATAGTCGTTAAGTGTGGGAACTTGTACTCACTCTGAAACTAATGGGATACATCATATATTTATCAGTTTATCTTCTCTTATGTCTTAATTTTCTCAGTTCTAGAATAAAACTTTGTCCACTTTTGCTGATGGGTTTGTCTCCTGCATTTGTTAAACCTGCTCTTGTCTTCAGTGCTTTTATCAAAACCATTTCAATTAGTACTGAATTAATCTGATGTCTAATTCATACAGAGACGGATCTTGAAACCATGAATTTTTTTTTTTTGCATAGTGGAGATGTGCTGCAATTGGCATTTCGCTGGAGCCCGGTGTTTGTGTTTGAGGCTTCTAACTGATCATAAATTTAGAAATTGAAGGTTAATTGCTTTTTGACTCTGGATATAAGCAAATATAGCAAATATTGTTTGTGGATTTTTTTTTCCCGTCTGTTGATGGCTATTTAGTGACAACCAGTAGCTGCTTAAGGGGAGAAGTGAAGGGGGAGCCTACGCAATGGCCTTGCTGGGGCTCAGGTTCTCGTTATTTGTAACAGCAAGAAAATGGGGTGTGCAGTGTGGCACAAATCACCTTTCTGTTCCTGGGATGAACATTCCAGATGTGGTTAGTGAGCTGTCACTTGAGATTCCCTGCCCTGTCAGTATCTTTGGAAGTCAGCATTGTCCAGTCTGAAGGTCCAGTGGGTTGCTGCATTACAAGCCTGAAGGCTCTTACAGAAAGTGATAACTAAAGATGGAAGATTGTGCTGCTGTGAAAGAGAAAATGAGTATCACACTCTTGTGGAAGTCAACGTGACAAATCTGATGTCAGAGCAGTGTGGTTCTAGGAAAGAAGTGTAATGTGGAGGCACTCTGGCAAAAGCAGTGTCTGTGCAACAGCTGAGTTGTTTGAGTTACAGGAAGGCATGTAAGTGTTGCCTCACTTTTCTGTCAGGATCAGGACTTGGTGGGTTTCCAGAAATCAATTTCAGTGCTTTCTTTACATTATAGACAGACTTCAGGTCTAAAAAATGTACGTGTATGTTGGAGAGAATGTCTCTTGTGAGGAGATGGGGCAAGGCTTCTTAAAGTACATAAGCATCCATTTGGTGGTGGTTTTTTGTTTGCTTTGTTTTTTTAATCAGTAAGGAAGAGCAGTATCCTGTATTTTGTAATGTTAATCATCTTACTGCAAAGGTCTTCAAGTCACACATTTTGTTTTTATTTCCAAAATATGCATGACCTCATATACAGGTGAACTCAGTGACTGTGGTATGTGGTTTCCAAGTTCAGGAGAAAATTCAACCTTTAGGTATTTTCTGCCTTATATGTATGTAGAAGGAAAAAAAAGCCAGGAACAAAACAGCTTAGTAAGTGTCTGAGGCTTTTCCTCAATTATCTAAAAGCTGATACTACATCATCTGCACAGATGCAAATATAGAAAATAGTAGGTGTGTTAAATCTATGGACTTATTTTTAAAACCTCTTTTACAGAGAATTGTCTTTCCTTGAGTGTATGTTTGTGACAGGAAATAGAGATGTTGCATTATGTCCATTTTTCTTTCTGGGAGTTTGAAAGTTTCTTTAAATGCTTATTTTCATCTTTTAAGATTGTTTTTAGCTCTTGTGGAAATGCTCTTATGTTTTCTGTCATTGACTTTGCTCTTTCCCAAGATGGTTATGTTCCAGTCAAGTTATGTTCTGTTTTTTTCCTAACTATCCCTCTCTCTACATGTTTTAGCTTTTCCCAAATATGCATTTTTTTTCTCTCTGAACAATAATATTATTGAACAAAGTAATAAATAATATAGCTGAGTGGTTTTGTATGAAAATCAACTGAGCTACTGTTTTTTGAGATGAACAGGAAAAACAATCCCTCCCTTAATTTCAGTGCTAAAAACTAGAGGATTAGCAAAATAGATGTGAATATTGTGGGTATTGTGAGACCTGTCCCAGGTCCTGGTTCAGGGTAGGTTCCCTGTTTGAGGTGATACTTAAAACTTAGTTTAAACAAAATCCAGACTTACATGACTTCTCAACTGTCAAAGGACTTAAGTTTTCCTTGGTTTTGTTTAGTGTAGAGCGTTTGTTAGGTTCTTTATTGTCTATAGGCAGTGTTAGAACTATCTCTGTGTGTGGCTACTTTGTGGAAGTAAATATTGTGTGGAAGAAAGATTCCAAGTGGGCTTAGAAATTGAACTTTAAATATTACTGTAAAAGTACAGAACAAACCCAACCAATTCTGAAATCAGTTTCTATTGCCATATAATTGCTGTATGTAAGAAAACAAGTGAGGAGTTGAAGTGTGTTTTCTCTTTTGCAGGTGTTGCTGAAATAGTTCAATTTATTTAAAGCAGATGATTTCATGCAATTGTGCCTGATTGTTAGTGCATCTGTCAACAGCTGCATGTTCATTTAGCTAATTGCATTCTAGTAAGATAGCTAAACTTATTTTAAGACATGCAGTTGTGCACTTTTTTTTTTTAAAGCAGCTACACACATTCAGAAGATTTACTGCAGAAAGTTCTGTGCTATCACAATGAACAATCATTGCTCTAGAGGAAATTTGAGAGCTGATAAACAAGACTGTGTCAGCCAAGTCTAGTGCATGGATAGCATCTGTGAGAAACTGGACCATGCCACTTATATTCATGTAGTTCTAAAGGCCCTGAAATGGTCTTGTCCTTAGGGTTAGTTTCATCATCTACTCTTCAGGAGTATTTTATAGTTTAACATGTAAAACTTTCATTTAACAAGCAACTAAAGTGTATTGCTGCATCAGTGTTCTGGTTGTGTATACAGGAAATATGAGCTTCTGTTACGTACTGATCATCTCCTTCAAGAAATAGGTAATATTTCTTGAAATAAGAAATTTGTATAAATTTGTATATGTATAAAAGGCATATGAGGAGAGCAGACTATCTATTATGCGTGCTAATTCTGTACAGAATACTTGTGTGTTTTTACGGGTGTGTGTTAGCTACGTAATTACAGTCGACAGTATGAAATTTATAATGCAGTGTTATTTTTATTTGTTATATAGCTTTATGCCAGTATATACAGGCCTCTAAAACCCGAGATGGTGCCAGCTGTTTCATTTCAAGTGCAACAGAAGGTAAAGGAAAAAGTGTGGGGGTAAAAAAAAAAAGCACAATTCTTTGTTCATCTGATACCCTGTCTTCATGGGCATTTATGTGCTTCTTGATCTTTTAACTTTCTAGGCTCTTTCTTCACAGCTAACGTCTTGTATTAGATGGTGGATACCCTTTTTTCCTAACTCTCAAAGAGGAAATTGTGATGCCACTTTTATGTCTATCTTAAACTTGCATCATCTTTGCATCTTGTGTATTTGTGCTTTTCTTCAGTAACAAAATTTCACTGAAACTGGAGCTTTAGCTATGCTTTAACACAAATCTGAAATATCTGAAGAGTAGCTTAGAGAATTGCTGTTGTGACCACAATCTCAAGATAGTCACACTTAAGGAAAAGCACAGATACTGAATGACATAAAATGTTACAGTGCTAATCCTTGGTAATATCTGCAGTCTGATTATATGCTAACTAACTGTCTTGCATTTTCTGTTTCTCTTAAAAGGAGTGTGTGCTTAATTCACTTATCCTTGCATCTGCCTAAGGATGTCCTGCTTTTTGGCCTTGTTTGACCTTAAAAAGAGAATAAAATATTTACTTCTGTATTTTTCTTTCACCTGCAGGGGAAAACTTTGAACAGACTCCGTTAAGACGCACATTTAAATCCAAAGTTCTTGCTCGCTATCCTGAGAATGTTGAATGGAATCCTTTTGACCAGGATGCAGTGGGAATGGTCAGTATCACTTAATGGCTTTTATTTTTAAGACAAAAACCTACCTTAACAATTGAAGGCATTAACCTGTGGGGGTTTTTTTGACAAAAAACTATGAAGTCTATTATAGATTGGAAATAATAATGAATTTCTCTAAATTGTGCAGGCTCAAATGGCCTTTTCATTTAATTGTAATATTTTTTAAAGGAAATTAAGTTAAAACTGATAAGTGGTAAGCCCCAGGAGAGCTTTTTGTTCTTTTACAACTTTTTTGTTACATTCTAGAGAATTGTTAGAGAAACAAATTAGTCTACAATTAATGAATCTTTGTTGTGCATGATTTTTCTGTTTAATGGAATGGGTGTGGTTTCTTAATTTAGATAAAATATAGTACTTTTCTCTGTCAGGTTCCTGGTCTTGGTGACTAAAATACTTTCCTTTATCTGAGTTTGAATTCTGTTATTTTATTCCTGTTGAGATTGGTAGCAAAATGGTTATAGCCCTTTTAATATGTTCCTTTAGTTTTTCTGCTTTAGATGCATCTGACTGTATTGTACAGAGATGTAACACTTCACAGAATTTAAATTGAAATGCAGTGGCAGTCTGTGACTTCGAAATCCTATTTTCACCAGTGCTTCTGGAGGCAGGGGGAGAAAAAAGTGTGTTTTAATGTATATGATCTTCCCTCTCCCCTTTTTTACAGCTGTGTATGCCTAAAGGGCTTGCTTTCAAGACACAAGCAGATTCCAGAGAACCTCAGTTCCACTCTTTTATTATAACTCGTGAAGATGGCTCACGGACATTTGGATTTTCTCTCACGTTTTTTGAGGAAGTTACTAGCAAACAGATCTGCAGTGCAATGCAGACGTTATATCATATGCACAATGCTGAATATGACATTCTTCATACTCCACCCACAAATGACAAAGATAGCTGCAGCAGCACTGGGGACTGCAATGGCACTTCTGTTTCAAAGCTACAGCGTTTTAACTCCTATGACATCAGCAGAGACACACTCTATGTATCAAAGTGCATTTGTCTGATTACTCCAATGTCTTTTATGAAAGCTTGTAAGAAAGTACTAGAACAACTTCATCAAGCAGTGACTTCACCTCAGCCGCCACCTCTACCTTTAGAAAGCTACATCTACAATATTCTCTATGAGGTTCCTCTTCCTCCAGCAGGAAGGTCATTAAAATTTTCAGGTGTTTATGGACCAATTGTCTGCCAGAGGCCAAGCACCAATGAACTACCATTATTTGATTTTCCGGTTAAAGAAGTTTTTGAATTGCTTGGAGTAGAAAATGTGGTTCAACTCTTTACCTGTGCCCTCTTGGAATTTCAGATACTGCTTTATTCACAGTGTGAGTACCTGGGTTTTGTTTTCTTATTTTGTAGTTGTACTGGCACAAGGCCTTTTCATTTCCTGACTTTTAAAAAAAAACACACAACAGTTTTATGGTAATGGTAAAGAAGCCAAGAAGACCCCAAGGCAAATCCAAGGATAGTACCTGGTGTTTGTGGTGGGTTGGCCCTGACTGGATGCCAGGTGCCCACCAAAGCCACTCTTATCACTCTGCCTCCTCAACTGGACAGGAGAGCAAAGATATAACAAAAGGCTCGTGGGTCGAGATAAGGACAGAGAGAGATCATTTACCAGTCACTGTCACAGGCAAAACAGACTCAACCTGGGGACATTGGTTTAATTTATTACTAATCAAATCAGAGTAGGATAATGAGAAATAAAAAACAAATCTTAAAAACACCTTCCCCCCCCACCCTTCCCTTCTTCCCTGATCTCTCTACCTCCTCCCTGACAGTGGCACAGGGGGACAGGGAATGGGGTTTTCAGTGAGTCCATCACACACTGTCTCTGTTCCTTCCTCCTCAGGGGAATGACTCCTCACACTCTTCCACTGCTCCAGTATGGGATCCCTCCCACAGGAAACAGTCCTCCACAAACTTCTCCAACATGAGTCTTTCCTTGGGCTGCAGTTCTTTGCCAACTACTCCAGCGTTGGTCCCTTACACAGGGTGCAGTCCTTCAGGAACAGGCTGCTCCAGCATGGGTCTGCCGCAGGGTCACAAGTCCTGCCAGCAAACCTGCTCCAGTGTGGGCTTCCCACCTGCTTGTCCACCTGCTCTGTTGTGTGGTCCTCCATGGTCTGCAGGTAGATATTTGCTCCACTGTTAACCTCCATGGGTTGCAAGGAGACAATCTGCCTCACCATGGTTTTCACCATGGGCTGCAGGGGAACCTCTGCATTGGTGACAGAAACACCTCTTCCTCTGCCTTCTTCACTGACCTTGGTGTCTACAGAGTTGTTTCTCTTGCATATTCTCACTCCTCTCTCTGTCTGCAATTGTGCAGTTTGGATTTTGTTTTCCCCTCTTTAAATACATTATCACAGAGGTGCCACCTCTATTGCTGGTGGGCTCAGCCTTGGCCATTGGCAGGTCTGACTTGGAGCTGGCTGACACTGGCTCTGTCAGACATTGGGGAAGCTTCTGGCAGCTTCGCACAGAAGCTACCTCTGTAGCCTCCCCCCCTGCTACCAAAACCTTGCCACCTAAACCTAATACAGTGTTACTGAAATCTGTATTCAGTATTTTCTCTCATTGAGCTGTCACTGATGTGTTGAATACAAATTGTAACTATTTATAAAATATAACCTGCAGTTATTAGCAAGATTCTCTAAACATGAAATACAGATGTTTGTGTGTTGAGGTGTGTGCATAGACTACAGGCAAAGGTGGATCTTGTGTGTATAGTCAAGGTGATTAAAAGTGTATAATGGCAGCAGGGCATTATGTCACAGTTGTTGCATTGTATAAGCACTGTTAACTACCAGAGAAAAACTACACAGTAATTGAAACACAGTCAGAAAAACCTATTGTATTTGATGGTGGTTACTCTCTCTTGGATTTAAAAAAATAAATAGCTTTGCTTATTATTCACAGAAAATCTAGAAATACTTGCTTAGCAGACAAACTTCTTTTGTGGTTTCTCCAGAAATGAATTAGGCATTTATATGTTTGAGATTTAGGAACACTTTGTGTATGTGGATATCTGTGTCCCACCGTTGGAAGATTCAAACATCAGCTCTTCCCTCTGAAGAAGGACACAGTCCAGTTGGTCTGTAGTTGTGCTTGAGACTTTCCGTGGCAGAAGTGGGAGGGCCTGGCCGGTTGGAAGCACCACAAGAAAAGGCATGTGTGCATCACTGTATCGGAACAGTGTTCCCTAATCTCTTCTCGGGCCATCGTGCTATAAGTGCTCTTTTCTCCTGGGCTGCAACTCAGCTCGCTTCTAGACTAGTCTTCTGTATTCTGGGTTCTCTTTCCCAGTCATATTAATAGGTTCAGTGTTTTTTCTTGGGTGCTTTCCAAGTGTCTGATCAGTGGCTAACTAAAAGCTTAAAATAGCTCTGAAACATTTGAGTTTTCCTGTTTGCACGCACAGACAGGGAATTCAAACAGATCCTTGCAGCTGAAGGCCTGTGGGCCTGGATCTTTATGACAGTTCCTGTCCACTGTTCCCCTGCCTCACCCCAGGCTTTGGCTGAGATGGGCTGTGCAGCACCTTGCAGAAGTGTCTTGTCTGTCTGTATCAAGTTCTCACCTATAGTTTGTGGCTGGAAAGTCGTCTTTCAGTAGAAAAAGAATTTTAGTTAACAAATGTTTGCTCACTTTTGGCCCTCAGTTTTGGTGAACTAGCTGTGGCAGTGCCTTCTCAGTAATAGTTTCTTGAAATGTAGCTTCTCTTAATTACTTTCCAAGGGATCTGATCTCTGACAATATTTTTTTTTTTTACCTGCTGTTTTTGCTTAAAAATCACTTTGGTGCGGTTTACTAATGCTTAATCAGAATAGTTTCAAAGCTTTTAGCGAGTTAACAGAAGTTACTGCATACTGCTGGCATTGCCAACAGCCAAGTTAAAGAATCTTTTCTAAAATGCTTTTGATACACATGGACTTAATTTTTGTATTACTTTAAGTGGGAGTGTGAAGTATTTTGAAGATCTACAAAGTCAACTTTTTCTCCATGTAACTTCTGTTTTTGTCTTTTCTAACCATGATACTCTGTTTTCTTCTACATGACAGCAGAAATAGAAAATTATTTTAGTAAAGTGATTGCCTGCTTTGCTGAAAAGGATGATATCATTGGGAAAATGGAACTTCTGATTGAGGTTCTGATTGTCTGTACCTCTACTTACCCATTTTCTTCATTTGCTTTGTTTTGGTTTGTTAGGGGTTTTGTGGGTTTTCTTGTTAGGTTGTTTGTTTTTAAACTGGAATATGATCCTAATACATTCTTCTCTTTCTTCTATGTGGTTGACTAACATCTGGTTTCTGTTGTTTGTAAAACGGAGAATGCTGAATAAATACAGGTGATAGTGCACTCAGTTCTAGGTGGAATCAGAAATTGCTTGAACATCTGTAAGGCCTTGCTCATGTTCTTGAGCATGCAGTAGCGTGAAGTCTAGATTGTCCTTCAGAATAGAAATCTTATTTTTTTTTTTTTTTCACGTCCTTTGGGTTTGTTAAATTTCTTGGTGCTCAAACCTGTGACAGTTGAGATGGGTGGGATAATTTCTTTCTTTCTGTTCTCCTAGGTCAGATGAGATTGCAGTACTCATTGGATGGATTTAGGTTCAGAACAGTATGTGTCAGATTCTGAGGGTTAATTGTAAAATTTAGTTGTTGTTTTTTTGGGTTTTTTTGTTGTGTTTTTTTTTTTTAAAAAAAAAAAAACAAAAACCAAACCCAAAACTGGTGGAGGAATTCCGTGACACACGCAATTCTTTTTGAAACAAATTATTTAGCACCTTAAATTTCAGTCAGTCCTTCGAATAGGAGTAACTTCACTTGGCAGTGAATGTGTTTTGCTTTAAGATTCCTTTGACATGTTTCTGACTTTATGCTTCTGGAAATTCTTCTTTTGTCCCACTATATTGGCACAGCCTGTATGTTTGGGATCAGTATAAGCCAAATGTAGGGAATGAATGCTTTGATTTGATTGTCCTCTTGAGAGAGAGTTTTCTCCCATTTGGGAAAGTGCTAGAGGAATGCAGGTGCATATAAAGTAGTGAAGAATCTGAAGCTGCTCCTAGTGCTGAGCCAGTGCTGAGGAACTCCAGCAAAGAGACAGTGGTGCTGAAGGAGGCTTTCAGTATTGCCCTCACCAGGTTATTCTGCAGGCTCTGGTTT